CTGTACATGTACGTAGAAATGTTTGAATATGAAAGTTAAGAGCATACAGGTGTGTATAAAAAGCATGCGACATTGTTCAAATGAACAGCTCTGACACAAATATGTAGGTGTGTTATATACATGTAAGTATAATATAAATTGCAAAAGGTCAAGGGAAAAAAAAAGCAGACAATGCATGTATGTTCTGTATTTCTGTCAATGAATTAACACCTACCAGTATATACACAATGGATACGAACATTCATATTGGCACAAAGCCAATGGCATTACACCTGTTTGTCAAACAACATTCATAAATACCTGGGACAGTTTTAATATTCCTATTGGACGAAACATGTCAGGTAACCGTGTATTAATATTTGATAATGCCCCTGAGAAGTGATAATGCCCACTGCGTAAATCACATGCTGGCACATGGATACAAGACAGTTTAATTGGGTCTGATTGGTCGGGAGTCTGTGTGCACGAGACGCGTTTCAGGTTACCCGGCCCAACCTAGAAAATCACGTGGAGCCTATTTCTTTTTATTCAACAAATCAAAATATAAAAACTGATGGTGCCTTGCCCCGAGCCTAATTTTGTGTACATCGTCCTGAACATTGTATTAATATTTTTTTTTGCATGAGATAGAAGGCTCTTGTGTGTTTGTATTTCAACAACCAGCTGCTTTACTACTCAATCACAGTGCTGATATGTATTATTGACATGCACACGTACAATATGAATCTGACACTGACTTAGAACCTCTTACAAATATACCCCTCCCCCAATACAAACCATCATCCGACCCTAAATTTTAGGCTATAAAAATTTAGATTAAAACAAAAAATTGACCCAACCAATCACTCTAATTTATTTTTCAGTGTAACAGGAAACACAACTAATTTTTTGTTTGGCTTTATCGGCACGCCACGCACGTGCCAAGTTCACTGCAGGGGATTCTACTGGACAACTTTCCAAAGGAATACACCATAAAAATGGACGGAGGTGTGCGGAAAACTGAAAGTAATATTTTAGAATAAAATCATTGGAAATCCATCATATGTTGAGTTCTTTTAATTCTCTGAAAAAAAAAAAGGTATTTATGAATGGGAATAACTATTTGCTTGGCCGTAGGAGAACAGACGCTGATAATGCCCGCACCTGCGGCTTGGGCATTCGTCGTGTCCATTCTCCTGAGCCAGTCTTAAACGCATGTTTAAGACTGGCCAAGCACATATTTATTGCCTTAGTTACTGTGGGGACAAAGTCTTTATGTGAACCAAAGTCTGTCTCCAGTAAACTCAGTCCTGGAATGTCCTCACAAATGAAACCGTCTTCTCAGTGCAGAGCAAGCCGGGGTATGCAAACAGGTGAAGAACTGGATGTAAAATTTCCACTTACATGAACATGTACACTGAACTGCACAAATCTGTGGTTGCTATAAATGTGTGAAATACCCAGTGTGTGAATGTTTGCTCCACGCATCAAAGTCGATCTTGTGGGTACCCCAGGCCACAGGTGCATTTAATAGCAAATACGGAATGAATACAACTCTCTTAACAATGTCCATGGGTGAAAAAAAAATTGGGGCACACCACCGGTACAAGGTACCGTACGTGTCTGCCATGGTTTTTTTATGTGACCAGGTATGACTGGCAAGCAGAACATGGAACTACTGGTACATGACGAAGGCTTTCCGCTGAAAAGCTCACATGTAGCTCAAGAGTACAAGGTGTACCCATGTAAGGGAAAGAAGTTATTGGCCCAGACAAAGTGTTTTTTCTATCAGCCAAAGTTTTCCATGGGATGCCAATGAGCATGAGGTAGCCCCCAAAATGTGAAGAAATGAAAGTGTACTCAGCAACAACAGAAGTGCTCCTGACAGTGCAAACAGGGCCTTACACTTGTACATGTAGTTTTACACTCTCAATGTACATTTACTGTTGTTGGCCTATTTCCTTTTTAAAGTGCCTTTGCAAAAAATGTACATACCGGTAGTTTGTCCACACCTCGGTTACCAGCTAATGGCTGAGCATTTTCTCCTATTTTACTAACACGTTGAAGAATTTGTGAATTTTCTGTGTCGATCAAAACAATCCGAAGATGGGCTATGTATTCCAAACACTTTTCCAATTTCCGTTCTTTTTCTTTTCTTCTCTTTTTTTGATATGCTTTGTTTTGTTTGTTTGTAGGTTGTTTGCATCTTGTGTTGGCCAAAAAAGGTTGAGGTGGTCACTAAAATTTGTGGTGTGAGCCATCTCGAGGACTAGGCAGAGAAAATCCTGACCAGAAAACTGCTCCTCCACAGGGAGATAACTATGGATACAGAAGCAGTATACGTTTTAAACGTGTACAACGTGTTGATTGACAAGGTCCAGAAAAATACTTCAGTTTCTGGCACTTGTCTCCTCTGACTTACACAACTCAGGAACTTTTCTTTCACACAGGACTCCATGTCCTTGTGTTCTTCAGGGATGACAAACTTGCTGCCAAGTTGCACAGCAGTGTTAGATTTCAAGGAAATTAGAGCTGTTTCCATACCAGTACATTCAAGAGGAATCAAAATTTTTCCTATTTCCCCTTTTGCAGTACATGTACTTCAAGCACATTCAAAACCATTCATAATGCAAATGCAAAGGTCACACTTTGCTGTCAGCTCTCATAATACCTTTGATGGGCTCAAAATGTTTAACAGTAAGCAATAACATGCACGTAATACACATGGTGTAAAACTAATACATGCCACTGTACTCATGTGGCCAACATTACCCTTTCAAAATGCAGCGCATTAGCCTGGAGAACCTTGTACATGTTACTGATATTCCTTAGTTATTTCTTTTCTCTTCAACAAAACAATAATGTAAACAGAGAGTAATCCACATGTACATGTACATTTAAGTACAATGACAAAAGTTAACGCAGTTAGAGTTGACAAACCTTGTTCTGTTTGGTTTAGAACTAAAACTACATGTACATGTACTTGATCTATTCAAATAAAATTGAGGGAAAGTTATACACTGCAGTTTATTTATCTTTGGAGGTGTGTTTCCTAACAAAATGAATAAAAGCTGCTGTACACTACTCACTGATTAAAATGACCTGAAATTCATGTA